ATGTAGCTTTGCGCGAAATTCAAAAACAATTATAACTAAGAGAGCAACAATTTGTTGTTGTTGTTGTTGCCATATGTTTAACTTTACAGCATGATTAGGAGTGCGTATACACCTATTGCTCAAAAACATGTCAGAAGATAACTTTGTGAGGTGCGTATCGCATCGATCAGTTTTATAAACGCGATTTGACGTCTTATGCTATGTATTTTATCAACGATACTTTGATATGTTCTTTGTTTTACTTTATTAGGCTGTCTACTAGACGAAATCTACACTGAACGGTCATCTTGAGGTGTGGTTATTCCCGTGTTTTAGACTCAGGTGCTGAATTCATCATGGATATGAATCATTCCCATTACTCTGTGTGTGTAAATATATATATATTTTGTTTCCGCGTAAATAAATTTGTCGTTTCCAGTGAAATTGATAGCTAAATCATAATTATACCTGGATGTAAACATTGGAAGATTTGTCTTCATAATATTAATAATAATACTGCTAATAGAGGCGGGTAAGTCGGCAACTCTTCCTTTACAACCTGAGATAAGACCCGTATTTTCAGTTACAAGCCATTAATATAAACTCAACAAGCTCAGGTTATTTCTTTAGTGGGAAGTTCGCCGTATCTCAAAAATAAGATATATCGTATCCTTCACAAACAAAGTAACAAAAAACAACTCGTTGTTGTTGTTTGTATTAAGCACAAAGGGTCTGCCCAACACGGGCATCGAAACCCGGATTCTATAAGTCCACAGACATACTGCTGTGCCACAACTTGTAAATGACTTGTTGAAATAATGGCTTATGATGGCATGTTGAGTGTTCCGTAATTTGTTACGTATGCAAAATATTTTATTTTCATGCTAAAAGAGAAAGGCAGATAAAAACGAAATAATCTTTTTTTTTTCTCCACGAACAAATGAAATTTGAATGACAGCTACAAAAAATGACACACGTAATACTTCGGCTTTGAAAATCGACCACTTGAACTATAAATACACAATAATTTGTACATAGCATTAGTAAAAGAATAATACACATAAGTAATTAAAATCATGTTGAGCAAGACAGTAAATTAAGCGTGCTCACACTTTTTAAATTTGTAAATAAATGTTTCGTTGAGCAAGACAGTAAATTAAGCGTGCTCACACTTCTTAAATTTATAAATCAATGTTTCGTTTACTTACTGAATTTAGGACCATAATATGAGACAATATAGCGGTAGAATTCGCGTCACGTTGGAGCATTAGATCCAACACAAGATAGAATTTAATTAACATCAAATTATACGAAATAAAATATCTATTTTCTGGTAATCGCTTTTCGTAAGTTTAGCTTCAAGGAAAACAGTTGCTCAAAAAAGTCATGAAAGTAACAGGTACACGAGTAGCAACGTAAATAGTGAGAAAAAGTAAAGTGTTTAGTGTAAAAACTTAAATGGTGGCCATTTACTCTTGAAAACCAGTTTTAATATTCGGAAAATTGGTACAAAGAATGAAGAGTGAACTGCAAAATGATTTTGCCAAGTTTTCGGAGCTAAGCATTTCATTGGAAGCTCGTCAAGTTACTGAGCCAATGAGATTGCTTTTAATAATCGGAAAAATTAATACAGAGAATGAAGAGTGAACTGCTAAATGATTTTGCCAAATTTTCGGAGTTAAGCCTTTAATTGGAAGCTCGTAAAGTTACTAAGCCAATAAGATTGCTTACTTGAATTAAAATGAGCTTTTATTTTATGATAAATGTATTTTTCGGGATGACAAAGCGTTGTCAGTTGTTGATGATCGACAGTAAGTTACTCGGATGAGGATTGATAACACTGGTTCTTTCTGCTTCTTCAAGCAAATGCAGTTTTCAGAGATTTTTATTTAAGTTTAAAGTCAATGTTTGACAAAATATTAAATGTTGAGTTACCGAAGTCTGGCATGGGGAAGTTAAGTAGTTATGCTCATTTCTGGGCCTAACACTGATATCACCACACTTATAAAAAAAAATATGTTTCATTTAGTAAATAAAATGACTTATATCTCCAGAATGTATCTGTATTAGCTCAACATTTCGCTATTACAGTTTTGTCAAGAGCAATCGATATAGCCCCTGACGAAGCTGTAATAGCGAAATGTTAAGTTAATAGAAATAATACATTATATTATATTATTATATTACATTATATTGTATTATTACATTATATTATTATATTACATTATATTGTATTATTATATTACATTATATTATTATATTACATTATATTGTATTATTATATTACATTATATTATATTATTATATTACATTATTATATTACATTATATTGTATTATTACTATTACATTATATTGTATTATTATATTATATTATGATATAACATATTATTTACATTAACAAAAATATCTCGTAATAAACTCCAGTTTGCGTTAAAGAAAGTTAAGAATATTGTATGTCATTTTGGCTTACTGGACGGGTTGTTAGGTATGACATTCAAGACACCGTGAACAACGCAATCTGATT